ATTGCGACCCCTTCTCTTGCCCCTGTGCAATCAAGACTTGTTTTCCGTCGTGCGTCGAACTACGTTTGCTCTGATCTCTTGTTCCAGACGAGAGTACGTAGGCATAGGATGCGATATCCTAGCGAGCAACCTTCCCCCCTTTTACCCGTAGTTAGGCGAACTACGTTGACTCTGATTTCTCGTTCCAGACGGGAATACGTAGGCATAAAGTGCGATACTTTGCCGAGTCATTTTCTTTTCTTTTTAGACCAGACCTCTTAGTGTAGATAGTTTAAACAAACCCGTCAGATAAACACAACAAGCGTGGATCCCATCGAGTAAGATGGACGTGAGGGGTGGTAATACCTTCCCCTTGCGTAACCGACTCCCGAATCCAAACAACGGTTGCGATGACCTTGTCTTATACCTTTTCGTCAGGTTTTTCCGATCATTTCCTTTCCCATTCTGAGGGATAAATAACGAAAGGTGGCGACTCTTCTATCATTGCCGGCACCTTATTTTCGCAGTAGCGACAACTGTCTACGCCTACGTTGTACGATGGCCTTCGCGGTCGGGTTGATGGACAGCTGATGGCAGGCAACCTCGGGGTCGAGTCCGGGCATCTCCGCGGCGCTCTAGGTGAAGAGGTCGGTGTTCTCGCGGAGGCAGGCCTGTAGCTGTCTCTTCGCTATGTCTAGGAGGCCGGCTCCGATCTTCACGGTTCTGCTTTTGTCGTCCCCAAGCGTCACGAGCTCGAAATCACCGTGTGGGATGGGGCGCGCTGGGTGGGTGGGCTGGTTGGCATCGCCGACCTCTTCTTCGTGATCATGCTCCTCGGTGAAGCGGCTATCGAGGTTCACGAATCCAACGAGCTCCTTTGGTTCGCTCTTCGGCGTCACAGTTGGGGCTGCCTTCTTAGTTGCTGGAGCGATGGTGCTTAAACCTTTCAGCGCGGCCTCGAAACACCTCTGGGAAGCCTCGATGTCCCCGTTCAGGGTCACTACGACCCCCCGCCTCATGTAGTACTTCATTTTTAGGTGGACGGTGGAAGGCACCGCGGTGAGTTCGGCCATCGTCGTCATGCCCAGGATACAGTTGTAGAGGGACGGGCACTCGATGACTAGGAAGCGGATGTTGGTTTCCCTGGCGGTTTCCTCTTCCCCAAACGTGACTTTCAGTTCCACGTATCCCCACGGTCTCGTGGTCGTCCCGTTGAACCCTTGGAGGTCAGAGCCCACGTAGAGGGATAGGTTGGATTTGTCGAGTTGGAGGATCGTGAAGAGGTGAGTGTATATGATGTCCACTGAGCTGCCTCCGTCAACGAGGATGCGTCTGACATCGAAGTTCGCCATCTTCGCCCGTATCAGCAGGGGAATGTTGGAATTGGGGGAGCCCCCGGGGAATTCTTCGAGGTAGAAAGTGATCGGGTTGGATAGGCCACAAAATTTTTCGAGCATGCTCATCTTCCCGGAGTTGCTCGTGATAAGTTCTTCGAACTTTCTTTTCACCGATCCTACGGACAGGCTCCTCGTAGAGCCACCGGAGATGACCATGGCTCTTGGGAAGTACTCCCATCGACTGGTGGGTCGTATCGGTTCGCCGTGCAGGTCCGGGCCGTCGGGGAGGTCGAACTCTCTATCAGCGAACCAATCCTCGGGGCGGCTGACACATAGGGAGACTTGGAGTCCGTTATCGCCGTCCGAGGAGGGGAGCTCTTCAACTTTCTTGGCCTCGGGGGCTTCTTGCCTCGGGGCTTCTCCCCCCTGGGCGTATCTCTTCAGGTGGCTGTCCTTAATCAGGATTTCGATCGCGTCCTTGAGATGGATGCAGTCTTCCGTCACGTGCCTGTGGCTCTTGTGGAAACGACAGTACTTTGATTTGTCCACATTGGGCTTGGGGGGGTGTCGGCATGGGGAAGCGGACACCTCCCTGGATGAATTCAGTCTTGGCGCATTCGGCCAGTATGCGCTCGCGGGAAGCGACTAGGGCCGTGTATTCCATGAATCTGCAGGCGGGGCCGCGCTGTTCGCGTTGTTCGCTGGGGCGATCTTCCCGTCGGCGATCACCTCCGCGCTGGTGGCTCGACGCTCCGTCGTCTCGGTGCCCGCGGGGGTCTCCCTATCTCGCGTGTCTCGGGCGGAGTTGGCTGCTTGAGTTTCCTCGAACCGGATATAATGCGCGGCTCTGTCGAGGAAATCCTGCAGAGATGCTGGTCGATGTATCCCCACAGCCTCGTAGAACTTAGAATCGCGGCGCAAGCCCTGCTCCATTAAGTAACGCTTCATCTCGTCCGACGAAGTTACCTGTACTGCCTCCCATGTGAATCTCTCGATGTGTTTACAGAGAGGCTTGTCGGGAGCTTGGATTATAGCGCCGAGCGCGGCTTCCATCTTCGGATGGCGTCGGGATGCTGTGAAGTGTTTCGAGAACAGGTCTTTCAGGACCCTCCACGACGTAACCGATTCTGGCTCGAGACTCTTGTACCATGTCATGGCACCCTTCCTCAGGGTTATCAGGAATAGTCTGCATTTGATAGCCCCTCGAACATTTCGGTAGTCGAGCATGGCCTCGATGTCTTCCAGGTGATCGTTTGGGTCGGAGGTGCCGTCGTATGTCGAGAGCGTCAGGGGCTTCTCCATCCCGTGGGGGATGGGGGCGACCATGATTTCGCGGGACAAGGGAGTCCTGTAGTCATCTTCATTGCTGAGAGCGGGTGACCGAGGGGGGGGGGGGGACAATCCATTTGGCAGGGGGACCTGGTTTCGGGTCCTCGGCCTCCTGACTGGGGGGTCGATGCGGGGAGGCCCGGTCGGGGTCCCTGCTCTGGCTTGTCGTCTCTGGCGGACTTGTCTCGCTGGGGACCTTGTCCGCTCCCGTACTGCTTCGGGTTGGGGCCTCTCCAGCCGAGGTCTTCGATTTCTGGGTTGAGGCGAGGGACTCCTCGAGTTACCGTTCTGGTCTTCCCGCGAGGGGGGGGGGGACCTCAACGGGGCATCGCGTTCTAGCGCTACAATCCACGTGTTCTGTTGAAACAATAACTAGTTTGTCTGGTTGATGGCCGTGAAGAGGGAGACCACCGTTGGGTCCGCTCCAGCCGGGACGGGAACGGGTTGGAACACTGCTGGGCTTTGGGGCCGGTGGACGGCCTGGTGTGTCGGTTCGGCGGACGACGGAGATGCAGTCTGGCCATCTCTCTCGTTGGTCTCCACTGGGCGTGACGTCTCCGTTTGCTTGCCGCCGTTTGCGGCAGCGTTGAGCATGAAGTCGTGCACGGTATCGTCGCGGTGTGGGCTAGCCATGATCGTGGAGCGTTGGTGAAACTTTGGTTCTCTGCTCGGAGTGACGGGGAAGTTTCTGTTCCCACAGACAGCGCCACTGATCTGACCTGATCATAAGGGGATCACGGGCTGGCCACACTCAGTTGGACTGCTACCTGTTCACCGGTGATGAGGAGGAAAAGGGGGGTGTACCTGCAAGACATTCCGATGCCAAAGTAAGGAATTGGGCAGAGTGAAAGCAAAGTACAGAAAGGGGTAAGAAGTGTGTTACCTGACCCTCTTGTGAAAGAGGGTATTTATAGAGAGACCCCAGCGCTGAGCCAACGATCACCTTCGTTGGGCTAGACTGCCAGGCTCAACCCAGGTGACTGCTAGGGCTTACGTGGCGTAGTGAAGACCAGGACGTGGTCTTCGCCCTAGTCCAACTGTCCCTTGATCTCCGGAAAGTGGGTTTGACCTGCTCTTTCGGAGGTGGGCAGTTGGTTGGTGACGTGTCCCCGCGGAGGGGAGAACGTGTAGAACGTGCGCATGGCATGTTGCTCTCCCCGCTGAGGGGAGCTCGGGAGGTTCCCCGAAGGTGCGTCGCTCTCCCCGCGGAGGGGAGCACCTGAGGGCGTGAGAGGGACACGTTGTCCTGCTCGTTGGTATGAGGATTCTGCCCGCGGAGGGTTAGTCTGTCCGACGAGGGGAGAGCGCAGAGGGCGTCTTGAGGCACGCCGTCCTGTTCGGCAGGAGCATGCCCTGCCCGTCGAGGGGGTCGCGTGCCCGACCAGCCTGCTTAAATCGTATTGGGCCTTGGCTGTGCATCATTGGGCTGACCCGCGAGGTGAGGTCGGGCCCAGGCCAGAACAACAACTTTTTAAGGTTCAACTTCAATGATTTTTATGTCATAATTTTGAAAATATTTTAAGTTAAGTTTGAGTGATCTTTTCTGAGTTTTTAAGTGATATATAAAATGAATGATGCTATTCAAAGATAAAAACAATCTTAACTTTGTTTAATGATGATCTTTGCCACTTTATTATGATTGATTATTGTCTTCATCTTTATCATTCATTGTCTTCATTTTTTTTTCTTTCACAATCATTGTTTTTTTTTTTGATGTATTCGTATTCATGAAAACCTTATCCCAAATCAAAGGAGAAACTTTTTTTTCACAAACAATAGATTGTTTATGAACATCTTATGCATAAGTAACAACCACTCCATAGACTAAATTAAGAGGTTTAGGTTGTTGAGTGATATACTTAAAATCTTATTTTATGCATTACTAATTAGTATGTTTTGGTTCTCATAAGCACCAGTCTTGACATCACACCATCACTAGTTACAATTCAATATTTATCTTTAATTTTCTCATCACACTCTATTTTAGAGATCTATGTGGTTTATAATTTGAACATGGACAGAAAAAGATAGAACAGTTTATACTTCATTTATATTATATGCTTTCTATAGTTCACACTCTTCAAAAACTAAATGCAGAAAACATTAATTATTAGTACAAATATCAAAACTGCATAGAATTACAAAGTCCAATATCCATTCTTATATGTTGAGGCTTTTGTGTCTAATATATCTTTAGATAAATTATAAGAGGTCAAGGATTTTCTTTACTTCATAGTAGACAATTAACATCACTCATTAAAATTCTGAATCACAAAATCTAAATCATCAAATACCATGCTATCCAACAACGTAGTTTTGCGTCGATCGGCTTTGAAATAACGTCCTCTCTAGTACTCATGGAACTATTATGAAAAGAGGCTGCGTCGAATACAAGTGCAATAGTTAGAGAAATAGTCACACACATACACACAAATTTGGATTCTCTGCATTCAGGCAATTCTTATTCTGGATCGTTATACCAAGATCAGATGACTTACGTTCCAACTTTGTATTTTGGATATGATTTACCAAAGTTGGAATGTGAGTTGTCTGATCATGGTCTAGATGTTTAAATTGCATGATTGCATTAAATGTGTGATTCTCTGACACGAGAGAATCCTAATCGAGTAGAGAGAAAGAGGGAGAGTACCAAGCCTATACTGACGGGTTTTCCATCCTCAACAAGTATCTCGGTTATTGTTCCCGATTGATCAGCCTGTTACAAAAGCAATGAAAGAAAGGTAACCAACAAATAGATTTTTCCGTAATTGGATCAATTTTGATAGAAAATCGGTTTACAGAAACAAACATAACCAGAAAATATACTTACCTCAATTTCATTCATCAGTTTCATAGCCTCGATAATGCAAATAACTTGGCCTTTCTGTACTTGATCTCCCACCTGAGGAAACAGAAAAATAATCGGGTTATTCGTTTCTTTAACATAAAATGATATTTTGACACAAATTTCGGCAAAAATTTAGATGGTCAACAACACATTTGGTATACGTAGTTAATTGCGTTTAACGAATATAATCAGGTGTCACAGGTCCATAAATATGTATATTCACATACCTTGACGAATGGAGGTTGACCAGGTGCCGGGCACCGGTAAAAAGTTCCTGCCATTGGACATTTCAGCGGTGGATGAGACGATGCACTTTTCATGGGGGAAGGCAAGGCAGGTGTTGCTTTCGAAGGAGGAGAGATTGCAGGAGCAGAAGCAGCTGCTGTTGGTGTGAGCGGTGGCGAAGGAAGCGTGGGATAGTAGAATGGTTGTGATGGTTGCGGGATAGCCGTGGCCGGTGGAGGCTGCAAAGCTTCTTTCTTTCTTATCATGAGCTCACAATCCGATTGCTTTAGTTGCAACTCCACAATATCTCTCGAATCCACAAGTCTAGCCACGGAGTTATAATAACAAATTACACATTCAATTTTGATACGATATTAGTGCAAATTTTTTACACTGTCAAACAATCATAAAAAATCGTATACGTGACTTATAAGATGATAAAAGTCAAATATTTTTAATGATGTGACAGTTATAACGATTGACAGGTTAAAAAATCTTTACGCTCACATACTACATACCGATTAAATCCTAAATAACGTTGATGTAGGTCTAATTGAGACAATACATGTTCTAACACCTATAAAATCACGAAGACAAAGTTATGTGATTGAATTCAGAGTGAAGCTTCTTAATCTTACTTTACAAGTTCAGCAACTTGAGTCATGAATTCAGAAACTGTAGATGTATCTGACAGCGACAGTGTGCCGCCAGAGACGCTCCCATTTTGGTTTTCTTGCTCTTTTGGTGAAGCAACATTAGGTGCAGAATTCGAATTTTCAACAATCACAGCCTATGATATGTACAAAGAAGTATTTGAACAGCCGAATAAATTTTTCGTTCAGATTAAAACTCAACGTGAAAAGAAAAGACTCGAAAGTCGAAACAAACTTACCTCATTAAGCTGCGCGTGAATCTTGATAGGAAACTGTTTCTTGTTAAGACACTACAAGAGTTAACAAAACAACATTGAATTAAATAATCAGAAAAAATTAAACACTGACTTCTAGGCTTTTAACACATTTATTAAATGCGTCTTTGTTTCTGAGGTGAAAAAAATTGATTTTGAGTGAATTGAGTATGTAAAATTGATTCGGACTAAAAGTGAATTTCTACATAAGTGAGTCGAACAGTAAATTTCAGCACAAAAATCAAGTTTAAATTCAATAACTAAATATCTTAGCTTTAAATAGAACCAATTCTATAAAACATAATCGATTCTACTCGAGAACAACTAAATATGTCATAATCATTTCTATACTTCTAGAATCAACTTCACCATTATTTTATAATTTCCTCAATTTCATGACCAAATTATAAGCCTGAATTGGTTATAAATCTAAGTAAAACAATAAATCCCACATAAAGTAACAGAAATCAATGTTGGCTAGATTCATATATAACACAAAATCACATACCTGAATTCCAAAAGATGCTGACTCAGCAGACAAAGAACCAAATGATTGACAAGGTTTCAAACTCAACCCACTCTGAAACAAGATCTTGTTGGCTTTCAATCCCAAAGAAGAAAAAGAAGGACATTTGGGGCATGGAACCGATAAAGATGCCATTTTTATGGAACCAACCCCAATAATAAAAACCCAAACTTTCTTTCTTCAAAGCTCAAAGGGTAGTGAGATTTATAAGAAAGAATGAAAATTGTTATGTGGGTCGGTTAGATCATAAGGTTATTGGCGATGAAATCGAAGAGGGTGTGTGAGGAATCTGAGAAAAGAGAGTGTGGATGATGGAGAATACAAAGGAGGAAATATTAGAAAGACAATGTTGTTTTTGTTTCTAGATTTTTTTTTGACATGTTTGGTTTCGATGATTACGATGCAACCATCAATGTCATAATAAAGTGTTAACTAACTTTGTAACAACAATGAAAATCATAACCACTTTTTTTTACATTTGTTTTGGGGACATGTTTGTTTCATGTTTTTTTCCCTTCAATAGTCCAAGTGCACAACATTGAGGTTTTCATTAAGGTTGCTATATATGGTTGGATTAAGGTTGCTATATTGAGCTTATTCATAAATATTTTTTTAATAAATATTTGTGTTATTAGCTACAAATAAGATATTTCAATCTGATTCTTATTTATTTTTAAAGTGAAATTCCGTCTACTAAATTATTTAATAAAAAACAAGACAATATGATATGGTATCAAAATATTGGAGAGTGTAAAAGATGGATTTGAAAAAGATTAATAGATGTTTATGTCAAATTATGTATAAACAAATTATTTTCCGATAATCAATTGATTAGGATGAAGTGATTAATGAATATTAACTAAATTTGAAGCTTAATATTGGAATTTTAACCGACTTAATTTTTTTTAATACACTTTCAAATTTGAATTTATGTGAAATCTATACTAGTTTGATAGAGAATTCAAATGTTAATTAATAAGAAATATACTATTATAGTATAAAGCTAGTACTTATTTTAGTAGACAACATCAACTCAATATGCAAGAGTTTATCCTTATAGTGATTTAAAAAATGGTTAAAATTATCATTAATAGTTTATTTATCAATAGTAACTTTTTCCTTCTCATTTCTTTTATGAAAACAGTTGCATGTGCACACATAAATGGCCACTTATTTAGCTATAATTATGGCCAGATTAGTAGGTAGACTGCCTTTTGACTAGGTGTTAATTTTCTTGGCACAAAACTATAGTAGCTATGTTTAATGCTTCCTATACAGATCTAAATACACAATATGATATTGTAATGTAGAGTACGTAAGTGTTTAGAAAATTGTAATGTTGAATCACAATCAGAAATTTGATGTATGGAATAATTACAATTAAAATAAATAATATTTAATAAAAATAACTCTATGAAATATGAAAAAGGATAAACATTAAAAAAACTGTCGTCTGATTGAGTCATTGAAACCGCTAATTTGATAGCTAGTCATTATTATTGATCAGAGTCCGAATGTCGCGGCCACCCGTTGGCATCGACCCTTTCTGTCATACTGTATCCCTATAGTTATGATGTCTTTTGGCGCCTTCTTAGTTGCTTTTACGACTTTCAAGTTTCTGCAATATCAAAATATGTTTCTTTCTCTTCATCACTAAAGGTTTTAAGATGACAAAATATCATTTTTTCGTCCCTTAACTTTATCTCGGGGTTTATTTTGGTCCCTTAAGTTTTAAAATCAAATCGACCCCTTAAGTATTAAAATCGGAGCATGTTTGTCCTTCCGTCTGTTTCCGTTAGTGAGGGTTCAGAATAAGTATCCATGTGGCATGGTTGATGGTTGTTGGTGCGGTAAAGCAGCAAGCAAAAAATATTAAGTACCCAATTTTGTCGTCTCTACAGGGATTAATGCGATCTGAACGCCGTTCAACGATTTCTACATTTCTAAACTTATTGTTCAAAAGTTTTGGTTTAAAAGGTTCAAAGAACCATAAATAAAAAACAGAACATATAAAATAAAGACTGAAATATAAACGGAGCCTTGTTGGGATTGGATTTCATCAATTGATAACATATGCATTCTTCTGATCAAATTAAACACAGCGCAATCATTCGTCTAATATCATCACGTATCACCCACGACAAAGCTTATTTCTAACGCGGCGTCGAGAGAACAATCGTGTTGTCTCATTGGTGATCTCTCACCCAACAAAAACACAACACAAAGCATTAGGAACTGATACTCACGCAAATGCTAAGCCTAAATCTATCTCTAGCGTTTAGGACCTAACAGGTAATCATCCTAGATCCATATCCGAAAAGTATATTTCTATCACAATTCAAATCAAAGATAAACAAGTAAGCAAGCATGAAACCCATATCAGATAAATAATTGTTTTGCATAAAATACAATGATCAGAATACGTACACACGCTTAACCCTTTTTACATGTATTCATCTAATCCGCCAAATGGTTATGAACAACATTCTTCATCACTATTATCACATACCCACACAATATCATGTTGATCCTACCCATGCTAGCCATGCTACTTAATCAACACAACACCATAGAGGATAAAATGAATATCAACTTCAAAACCATGTCAAAAGTTTGTTCATTGATAGAAGAAAATCTGAGATCAAAGATGTGAAAAGGTTTTGTCAAGACCCACGAATACATAATCAAAGATATTCAATCAATAGAGAATCCAAAATAAGTTCACAAACATATATTAGATGAAATATATAAGGTATCAAAAGATTACAATCCTAACCCCAACAAGAGATCTAGGATCTTACCTCCTCCCTCTTAGGGTTTTATGTTTCTCCTCTAGAAGAAATGAAGAAAAATATCCAATGGAAAAAATACAAGTTATGACCTAAAAAAGCAAGAAAATCACTTAAATATACATTCAGGATCTGTCACGTTCGCCTAGCGAAAAGCTAGCGAACAACTAACTTTTGGTACTTTCAGATATGTCCAATTCTGGGCTCGTCCGCTACCTGTTCGCCTAGCGAGCAAGCTAGCGAGTTATTCGCTACCTGTTCGCCTAGCGAGCATGACAGTATTTTGGTGGTTTTGCATGTTGTCTTGGTTTCCTTACCCATTTCTTGTGTCTTACTTTTCACTTGTTTTGTGCCTAATTCCTGCACAATAACACACAAATCAAAGGTACCAAGATATTTTCTCATAATGTTGCAAACCAACCAAAATAAGAGTGGTTTTCAACACTTTCTTGAAGAAATTGAGTGAAAGATGCCAACTTTTGATAGATCAAATAAGTGAAATTTGGCATCTAACAACTCACCCCAACTAGCTTTTTGCTTGTCCTCAAGTAAAGTATGCCTCTCATTTCGCAACAAGAGGATTTGCTCAAGACTAAGATTCACCCAAGAATGGATAAAGTTGGCTCAAACACAAATAATGCAAACAAGCCATGGTTTCAAATGTTTAGAATCAAACAATGCACAAGAACTAAATTCTTAAAACAAATATAAATCCATGTATCAATCAACAACTATATTTTTCATGAATGAATCACTCTACTCTCTTCTTCGAATAAGGATTGAAGAGATCACGCATTTGCAACAGCGGGGACAGTTTCACTCAACTAACAAACAATGCCAATATCAATTCAATTCATACAAAATCTAACAATCAAAAGCGAAAATATGGAAGCAAGAAGATCACTAAGGTCTTTAAGGTTGTAGTTTGGTCGGGTTTACAAACAAGGGACATTTTAAGGCCATTGAAACGAAATTTTCGATGCAAAAGAGACATTCACCGAACACGTTATTTACACACCTCAACCTCATTCCATTTGTTTCTTAGTTGCAAACCTTCACAAACCTTATTTCACAACTTATTCTTTCACTATTTTTTTCTTTTCCAAGCAAGCATTCTTTTTCTTTTCTTTTTTTTTTCTTTTCTTTTTTCATATTCACACAATTTTTTGGTGCTTACTTGAATTTTTCAAAAGTTGTAACAACCTACTATCTTCCTTTTTCATTCGCCCCAACTTAACTTTTACTCAACCCTCAAGTGAATGCTCTTAGCTTTTTATGGCAAAGAAGACAATTAAAACAAATTCACGGGTTCAAGAAAAATTTTAGAATCTCTCAAAATTAAGAATGAGATTCACATTGTTTAGGCTCAAAGGGGTTAACGAATTCTCTCTACTCACGGGTAAGTTGCATTTGGAACTAGTTGTGCTCAATAAAAACAAGTGCCTTGATCATTTCTAATGCTTCCACAAATTCACAATGATAACAAGATAAAGCATGAATCATATGAATCAACAAAGTTTATCAGAAATCCAGCATTTAGTAAACAATGGAAGTTTTCTCACAAATTATGGTTTTTGGTCCTAAGTGAAACAATCATTCAAACAAGTTGGCAAAAGAACAAATTTCATTTGCACAAAGACTTAAGTTCTTAAGCATTCTAAAATTCTAAACAAACGAAACCATGTACCTTGACAACATTCACTTGTTTCATACTATCATCGTCATCCAAACTCGGTCGAAGCTTCATTAAATACTTTTATACCGATAGCAACCACTCTAGAAGGAGTTTTCGTCATTCCTGTACATACTAGAAAAAACATAAAAAGAAACAATATATACAAAATATACAAAGCTTAAAAACATAGAACCGTTGCAATGCACTTTAAAATCTCAACACCAATCCCCGGCAACGGCGCCATTTTGTTGGTGCGGTAAAGCAGCAAGCAAAAAATATTAAGTACCCAATTTTGTCGTCTCCACAGGGATTAGTGCGATCTGAACGCCGTTCAATGATTTTTACATTTCTAAACTTATTGTTCAAAAGTTTTGGTTTAAAAGGTTCAAAGAACCATAAATAAAAAACAGAAAATATAAAATAAAGACTGAAATATAAACGGAGCCTTGTTGGGATTGGATTTCATCAATTGATAACATATGCATTCTTCTGATCAAATTAAACACAGCGTAATCATTCGTCTAATATCATCACGTATCACTCACGACAAAGCTTATTTATAACGCGGCGTCGAGAGAATAACCGTGTTATCTCATTGGTGATCTCTCACCCAACAAAAACACAACACAGAGCATTAGGAACCGATACTCACGCAAATGCTAAGCCTAAATCTATCTCTAGCGTTTAGGACCTAACAGATAATCATCCTAGATCCAGATCCGAAAAGTATATTTCTATCACAATTCAAATCGAAGATAAACAAGTAAGCAAGCATGAAACCCATATCAGATAAACAATTGTTTTGCATAAAATACAATGATTAGAATACGTACACACGCTTAACCCTTTTTACATGTATTCATCTAATCCGCCAAATGGTTATGAACAACATTCTTCATCACTATTATCACATACCCATACAATATCATGTTGATCCTACCCATGCTAGCCATGCTACTTAATCAACACAACGCCATAGAGGATAAAATGAATATCAACTTCAAAACCATGTCAAAAGTTTGTTCATTGATAGAAGAAAATCTGAGATCAAAGATGTGAAAAGGTTTTGTCAAGACCCACAAATACATAATCAAAGATATTCAATCAATAGAGAATCCAAAATAAGTTCACAAACATATATTAGATGAAATACATAAGGTATCAAAAGATTACAATCCAAATCCCAACAAGAGATCAAGGATCTTACCTCCTCCCTCTTAGGGTTTTATGTTTCTCTCTCTAGAAGAAATGAAGAAAAATAAGTTCTGATGTCTCCAATGGAAAAAATACAAGTCATGACCTAAAAAAGCAAGAAAATCACTTAAATATACATTCAGGATCTGTCACGTTCGCCTAGCGAACAGCTAACTTTTGGTACTTTCAGATCTGTCCAATTCTGGGCTCGTTCGCTACTTGTTCGCCTAGCGGGCAAGCTAGAGAGTTATTCGCTACCTGTTCGCCTAGCGAGCATGACAGCATTTTGGTGGTTTTGCATGTTGTCTTGGTTTCCTTGCCCATTTCTTGTGTCTTACTTTTCACTTGTTTTGTGCCTAATTCCTGCATAATAACACACAAATCAAAGGTACCAAGAGGTTTTCTCATAATGTTGCAAACCAACCAAAATAAGAGTGGTTTTCAACACTTTCTTGACGAAATTGAGTGAAAGATGCCAACTTTTGATAGATCAAATAAGTGAAATTTGGCATCTAACAATGGCTTATGTGTTATATTTTAGCTTATGTGGCATGTGTTCATGTTACATTTTACCTTGATGAACATAAGCATTTTTAGCAAGTCAAGGGAAGAAAGAAATTCATCATGCAGTGAAGAACATTGAAGACGAAATCCATCGTTCCTGAAAGCGAGATTGATTGAGGGACCGTTGAAAGCATCGTTGCAAACACGTTAGAAATTTGATGCTTTGTATCTGTTCTAATAGTGGTAGAAATTAGGGCTTTACATGTTTTCAATATGAGAAATTAGGTTTTTATTTATTTTATAAATTAGAGTTTTAAATGCTTTTCATAACTTTATGGCGTGGTAGAAATTAGGGTCTTCAATCTAAGAAAATTGATGCTTAATAATCTTGACTTTTAATTGACTAGGTGCAATGGACGAGTTTATAATACTAAGAATTCATCATAATGAGGAATTCATTGATGGTGATCTTAGAGTGTATGAAGGAGTGAAAATTGATGAGTTGAAAGTAAATATTGACAAATGGAGTTACTTTGAGTTGATAGGTGAACTGAAGGAGTTAGGTTATAGGGATTTTGAGAAAATCTATTACAATGACCCGACATTTGGGATGAATACATTGATTGATGATGTAGGAGCATTAGAAATAGATGATCTTTACAGGGTTCACCTAGGTGTAGACATTTATATTCAACACACATTTGATAAGTTTGATTATTATGATGGGCCTATACAAGTGGAAGTAAAAAATGTTGTCAATGTCAATGAGGAGCTTGATGTAGTTAAATAAGTGCTTTTTAAATTGTATGAAGAAGCAGTCAATGAAAATGATAAGTTCAATTAAGTTGAGTTGGAGGCTGACAAGGTTGTGTTAGAGGCTGAAAAAGTTGGTATGGAGCCTGAGAAAGTTTGTTGGAGGCTGAAAAAGTTGGTATGGAGGCTGACAAGGTTGTGTTGGAGGCTGAAAAAGGTGGTATGGATGCTGAAAATATTGGTATGGAAAGTGGTGAGGTGGATGATGCTCTAAGTAGTGATACTAATGAGGATTGTTAGAACAAGATTTGGTTATGCTCCTTATCTCTAAATTTTGATAATAACAAAGTAGTATTTGTGTGAGAACAATTTTTGTACTCTGACGTTTGTTTTTCTGAAGGATTAACAAATAGGTTCTGACTTTGATAGAAACCATATTCAATAACAATCTGGTTTGACCAAAAGTCGCTTCTGCGCCAAAGAAGCAAGTTTGCTTGTGATCTACTCACATTCATAAAGATTCTAAGAAGACAATATGTTGCTGCTGCAATGTTCTCTTGGATTCTGCCTCTGAGCGTGACTCTGATGTTTTTACTTCTAAAGGATTCTAGCTTATGATATTTTTACAGAAGATAAGATCAAAAGTTTACGGGGGAAAATAGTACATAATACGTATCAAAACATTTCATTCCACTACCCTGATTTGATGGAACAAAGGACAACTTTTGTGTACAATTTTTATCCCTGCATAACGACATTCCTTCAAGCCACTGGCTCATTCAAGGATATTCCTGATATGCCCTCCAATGGATCTTTTATTGGCTTTATAAGGAATTGACCCCTTAAATAAAAAACTTTTGAGCAACGAAATATACAAGAACAGTTGTGAAGAAATACAAAGGAAGAATAATATTCATACTGTCAAAATTTCTTTAAGTAATTTATGATATTCATAGTGTTTATATCTGCTTGTGTAGAAGCAATTCATTATAAACATTGATTTTTTCAAACAGTTGTTTATAATTCCTTAAGGGACCAGTTGGGTCAGAATCCTTAAAAAGAGACAATTAGTCTTTGATGTTAGCCACCAACAGTTGCTAGCGCAAATTATAATCAGTTGATTATAGTGGAATAAGTCCTTGTGTATAAGGCAAAATCACCTTTGCGGGTGGACTGGATTAACATGATAGTTTTCAAGTAAACCAGGATGTATCGTGTGTCTTTCTGTCTTGTTAAGTATATTTGTGTTCTTTGTTTGAGTTTCACAAAAAACTTTAATTTTTGAAAACCCAATTCAAACCCCCTTTCTCGTGTTTTCTCACACCTTCGATTGGCATCAGAGCTCCAGTTCTGATTGTGATAAAAAATTATGAACACTTCACCATGCTCAGTACCAATCAAGTATTTGTGTGAGATATCATGGCTGCTGCTAATGCTAATCCTATTTCAGATGAGAAAGACCATTACAGTGCCAAACCACCAGTCTTTGATGGTGAAATGTTTGACTACTGGAAAGATAGAATTGAAAGTTTCTTTCTTGGTTACGACGTAGATCTTTATGATCTTGTAGTTGATGGCTATACTTACCCAGTTGATGCTGAAGGTGTAAAAGCGTCAAGAAGTTCTATGACAAGTCAACAAAAGAAAGAATACAAAAATCATCACAAGGCAAAAACTATATTTCTGAATGCTATTTCTTATACTGAGTATGAGAAAATAAAAAATAGAGAAACTGCCAAATCCATTTTTGAGTCACTTCAAATGATTCATGAAGGAAATTCTCAAGTAAAGGAAACAAAGGCTATTGCCCTAATCCAGAAATATGAAGCCTTCAAGATGGATGATGATGAATCTATGGAAACTATGTTTTCAAGATTTCAGATGTTGGTAGCAGGACTCAAAATGCTAAACAAAGGATACTCTACTGTTGATCATGTCAAGAAGATTATTCGAAATGCTCCCAAGAAATGGAGACTTATGGTAACTGCTCTAAAGCTATCCAAGGATCTAAACAATATAAGTCATGAAGAACTTATCAGTTCTTTAAGAAGTCACAAGATTGAGCTGGAGGAAGATGAATCTCAGAAGAAGAATAAATCTATTTCTCTTAAGTCTAAGTCTTAAAAGGCAAAGGCTTATCAAGTGAGGAAGAATTAGAAGATTCTGATGAAGACTCCGAAGATGAGCTATCACTTATCTCCAGAAGAATCAACAAACTCTGGAAACATAGGCAAGGGAAGTTCAGAGGAACAAGAAGAAATAATGGTCACTCTGACTCATCATCTGGACAGAAGAAGTGGAGTTTTGGAAAAGAAGTCATCTGCTATGAGTGTAATGAGCCCGATCATTACAAGAATGAGTGTCCAAAGCTTAAGAAAGACAAGAATCCTAAGAAGAACTTCACCAAAGTTAAGAAGGGACTCATGGAAACTTAGGACGACTCTGATTCTAAAGAAGAAAAATCTGATGAAGAACAGGAAAATGTTGCATTAGTGGCAACAACAATTAACGCTGAAGTCTCTAGAGAACCATAAGATAAAATGCTATCAGAATCAGAATCATACTCAGACTCTAACTCATAGGTATTATCTGAACTCTCTCGTTGTGAATTAGAGTCGTGTCTTTCAGAAATGCTGGAAAGATATCAAACTCTTCAAAGTAAATACAAGGATCTTAAAAAATCCCATGTAATTACTTCTGAAGCAAGAGATAAGCTTGAACAGAATAATTCTTCTTTGAATGAAAATATTTTTTCTTTAAAAAATAGTAATTGTGCTTTGAAAAGCAAAGTTTCTAAATTAGAAGAAGAATTTGTTTCAAACATCTCTGACACTAATTGTGTCAACAAGTATGATAAAGCATTCCAACACTTTCTGGATAAAAGCATAGATAGAAGTAAGATTGCTTCTATGATCTATGGAGTTAGCAGAAATGGCACAAAGGTTTGGGTTGTACAAAAACATTTGAAAATGACGAAAGTCAACCTGTAAAACCAAAACCTCTCTATGATCATTTTGTGCCTTCTGGTACTAAGCTTGATTGTCCTGAGCTTGTGAAAGCATCTTCACAGACACAATAATATGATCTTAAACCAAAGTATCATGCACAAATTCCACTTGATTATCTTGTTGCACGAAAACCCAAAGTGGTGAAAAACTCTTAGAAAACTAACAAAAGAGGACCCAGAAAGTGGGTACCAAAGGATAAGATAATCTATATTGCAGATATCCTTAGCAGCTCAGTTGGAACACCAATCATGGTACTTGAAGAGTGGTTGCTCGTGACACATGACTGGAAGAAGGAATATCTTCCAAAGTCTAGAACTTAAGCTTGGAGGATTCATTGGTTTCGGAGGAAGCCAGAAGGGTAAGATCATTGGCTCTGGAACTGTTGGTAATGGTAAACTTCCTTCTATTACTAATGTTCTTCTAGTCAATGTTTTGATGCATAACTTATTGTCGATTAGCCAAATTAGTGACAATGGTTGTGATATCATTTTTAATTAAAAGTCATGTAAGACTGTTAGTCAAAAGGATGGCTCAATCCTTTTTAATGGAAAGAGGAAAAACAACATTTATAAAATCAGACTTTCTGATCTTAAGGACCAGAATGTTAAATGTCTAATGCTTGTAAATGAAGAGCAATGGGTATGGAATAGACGTGTGGGCCATGTTAGCATGAGAAAGATTTCTCAGCTAAACAAGCTTGAATTAGTCAGTGACTTGCCAAATCTGAAGTTTTCTTCAGATGCTCTTTGTGAAGCATGTCAGAAAGACAAGTTTTACAACACCTCTTTTAGAGAGAAAAATGTTGTTTCTACTTCTAGACCATTAGAACTTTTGCACATTGATTTGTTTGGTCCAGTGAAAACTGCCTCAATCAATGGTAAGAAATAAGGGTTAGTCATTGTACATGATTATAGTCGTTGGACATGGTAAAATTCTTGAAACACAAGGATGAGTCACATTATGTGTTCTCTACCTTTTGCTCACAAGTGAAAACAGAGAAGGATTGCAAAATTATCAGAGTCAGAAGTGATCATGGTGGAGAATTTAAGAACAAATACTTTGAGAATATTTTTGATTCCCATGGAATTTCCCCTGATATCTCCTGTCCCAGAACTCCACAATAGAATGAAGTAGTGGAAAGAAAGAATAGGAATTTGCAAGAAATGACTCGTACCATGATCCAAGAAACTGACATGGCTAAGCACTTCTAGGCAAAGGCAGTAAACATATCGTGTTATATTCAGAACAAGATTTCTATCAGGCCTATTATAGGTAAGACTCCTTATGAACTATGGAAGAATAGAAAACCCAACATTTTTTATTTTCAGCCTTTTGGTGGTATTTTCTTAGTGTTGAACACTAAAGAGAATCTTCGCAAATTTGATTCCAAAGCTCAAAAGTGTTTGTTGTTAGGATACTCTGAACGCTTTAAAGGCTACATAATCTATATCACAGAAACATGAACTGTTGAGGAATCAATTCATGTTAGATTCGATGATAAGCTTGATCCTGAAAAGTCAAAGCTAGTTGAAAAGCTTGCAGATTTGAAGATTACTTTATCAAAATCCAAGGAGGAAGTTTCTAACGAAGGAGACAAAGCTGCAGAAACTATGGAATCAGAAACAATTTCACCAAAAGCAGCGAATAATCCATCTCATTAGAAGAAGAATAGATTAAGGACTTATTATTCTGAAGAATTGATTCTGGGAGACAAAGCTGATCTAGTCAGAACTCGTTCATCATTCAAACCTTCTGAAGAAAATCTTATGGGTTTGGTGTCATTGATAGAGCCAACATCAATTGATGAAGCTCTTCAGGAGAATGAGTGGATTCTGGTCATGCAAGAAGAATTGAATCAGTTCATCAGAAAGGATGTTTGGGATCTTGTTCAGAAACCTAAAGGTCTCCATGTTATTGGAACAAAATAGGTATTCAGAAACAAGCTTGATGAGAAAGGTGAGATCCTCAGAAATAAAGCTCGACTGGTTGCACAAGGCTATAATCAGCAAGAGTGGATAGACTATACTAAAACCTTTGCACTAGTTGCCAAATTAAAATCTATTCACTTATTAGTTTCTTTTGATGTTAATCATAACATCACTCTTTATCAGATGGATGTTAAGAGCGCATTCTTAAATGGATATATTTCTGAAGAAGTGTATGTCCATCAACCCCTGGCTTTGAAAATTATGAGAAATCAGATTATGTGTTTAAATTGAAGAAATCATTATACGGTCTGAAGCAAGCTCCCAGAGCTTGGTATGACAGACTTAGTAATTTCCTTTTGGAAAA